CCAATATTGGCAAACAATATTGCGCCAATATTATCCATTATCGATTTACTGATATTGTTATGCCATTATTGGCGAAATATTGTTTGCCAATATTGGCTTTATATTAAATTTTACACATGCGTAACATTAAGGAATGTTCATAATGTCCTCTAGTTTTGTTAAATATGTTTAAATGTAAATAATAGCATCTTTTTACATAAACAGGCATCCTTATGTTATTAATTTTTTTACAAAAACAAATAAGAGTTCAAAATAAAAATTTTAATTTATGAAAAGAGAAGAAGTAGGAAAAGTATTTTTAATTCAACATTTACAAAGTGAATCAAGAGAAGAAGTGTTGGTAATTTATTTTGAAACAGATAGTATCACGAAAAGAAGTAATGAGAGTAATAAAATTCTTTTATTCAACATTATGAATTGAATTGCGAGAAGAAGTGGTTGTAATTAATTTAAAACATATTGCATCTCGTGAAGATTAGGAAAATTATTGCTATACTTAAGTATCAAGATTAAAATAGTAAGTTTACTCTTAAATAAAAACACTTAAAGAAGATTTCATCTATAAAATATAAGTTTTATAGTTTATTTATTTTGTTAAAGATATTCGTTTAAGAAATAAATACGTCATTATTATTGTTACTAACTGTTATAAGATTTTAATTTACGAAAAAGGTACCCTTGCTTGACACTTAATAACATCAATAATAAATAAATAAATGAATATATATATATATATATATATATATATATATATATATATATATAGATATATATATATATATATATATATATATATATATATATATATATATATATAAGTATATATATATATTATATATATATATATATATATATATATATATATATATATATATATATATATATATTATATATATATATATATATATATATATATATATATATATATGTATATATATATATATGTATATATATATATATATATATATATATATATATATATATATATATATATATATATATATATATATATATATATATATATATTGTTGTTTTGATTATTGGATAATAATCAACTCTTTTTCGATTTGAGAGTGATCAATATAAAGTAAAATAATCACAAAATAAATCAATAAATAAATAAAAGTTTAGATGAGAATAAACAACTTTTTTACAATACTTAAAGTTTCATGCCGTTTTCGGCACTCATCAGCCATATATTTAAATCAAGAAAAAAATGATATTAGTAAATAGTTTTTAATTGATATTAGTTAATAGTTTTTGGAAACAGTACCATGTACTATTAAAGTTTTTAATTTTTAAAGTATATGATACATTTATATGAAACATACAAACAAATGATACAATATGATACGTGATTGACTATAATTATGTTGTATATCAGAATGTTTTATATAAATGCTTATTACATTTTATTGTGATTTTTATCTTTTATGCCCAGTTAGCAATGTATTTTGTGTAGCAATGACTACTAATCTCAGATATCTTTGACATCTGTAGGGTGTATTTACCGCTACAGATGTCATAATCTATTTATAACCAATTGCTTTTACTTTTCCATAATGTCATATTTTAATAAGAATCACATTATGGAATACTGTCTAATACATACACATGAGGAACCATTATACTTTTAGTACAAACAATTATATTACATTTGTTTTCTTATTTCAGATAAACTTTCTTGCTTTGGTTGGAGGAGATGAGAAACAACTTACAGCGGCAATCTCAAAAATGGCCAAAGAAGTATGTTTTTCATACTCAGTGTATGGAATGAAACAAAAACGTCCTGCAAGGTCTTTAAAGGTAAAGCACAATATTTGTATTCTACATCCAATTTCCTTTTAATAAATAAATATTTTAATAAAAGCTAATTACTTTACAATATTTACACGTAAAAAGTTAAGTATTTCAAAATTATATTGTGATGATATTTAAAGAACATTTTGTAAAGTTGCGTTTAGTCGTTTATCAATGTATTCGTTCATTTCGAAATCGCTACTGACAAAAGTATTAAAGAAAAAATTGGCAGCTTTCTGGCGACGGCCATTAATAGAGATTATGGAAGAAAAATAGAACCGTAACTGAGCAACGCCCAATATTGAGCAATGAAATAAGTATCGCCAATATAATGAAAGTCGATGCCCACTATCTCATAGTGAGAGTATAATACAGTAGTTTATATATATATATATATATATATATATATATATATATATATATATATATATATATATATATATATATATATTATATATATAAATATATATATATATATATATATATATATATATATATAATATATATATATATATATATATATACATATTTTTTGTACGTGTATTTAAATAACATTGAAAACTCTATGCCTCTTTTTTTCATTTGTATCTGTTTCATATAATTTCAAATAAATTTAATGATTTCGATTTTTTTTTTCTTAAAGCGTGTTTTATGATTATTGTCATCTCCTAGACTATAACTTGTTTAACTCAAAAGAATAATGCAGCCTAGTACTATTGTATCACTTAAACAAGAAAACTGTTAGTAATTTTAATTATTACAACTTTGTAGACGGCAATATTTTTTATTTTTTTTTAATAATAAAAATTTAATCGAAAATACTTAATATATTGCCTTATGTTAGTTATATATATTATACATATCAGGATAAGATTGTAAACTATATTAGGCCGATATTGGCCAGTATAATATCCCCATTATTGGTGCGATATTATTTACAATATTGGCGCAATATTATAAACTATATCGGGCCAATGTTGCAGTGTGAACATTTTGCCAATATTGGCCAATATTGACTTTACAGTATTCGTGCAATATTGTATCGCCAATATTGACTTCACAATATTGGCGCAATATTGTAGCGCCAATATTGGCAAAATGTTCACAAAAAAATGGCCCGATATAGTTTACAATATTGCGCCAATATTGTAAACGATATCGCCCCAATATTGCGCCAATATTGTTTGCTACTAGGGTATTGATAAATATATATATATATAATAATATTGATAAAATGCCATATGTAGTAAATATAAAAAAAAAAATTTATCAGTAGTTGTATCCTAAAAATGTGCTATCAATTTTTAGGCTTTTTGAAACTTAAATATTTTAAATTCCAAAATTGCATTATCCCCATAAAATTTAAAAGTAGAATTTTTAGAAAATATTTGCAAAACGTTGTCTCTTGTTAGGATATTACAGTTTATTCAGGCCAGTTTCACTAGTCTTTTTTTCCTCTCTTTTACTAAAATTCAAAAAATAAATAGGTTTATTTTTTTAATTTTAGTAAAAGAGAGAATAATTTCGGGTTTAGCCGAAATTAATTCTTTATATAATAAACTTAATAAATGCAAAAAACTTTTTCTCTAATTCATATATTGATCAAATGGCCACACTCTTACTGTCACTTCAATGATACAAGTCAGCTCAAACTGAGGGGCAATTTTTTATAAAGTATCCTTACTTGAAATAAGTTTAAACATATAATTGTTTGAAGCTTGCTTCGTGTCCGGAGGTTAGCTATCTCAAAGACCATAAAATGCTGAATTAGCCTCTGATCTATACAGATTTTGACCCTATCAATCTATTGCTGACTTCTGAACCGTTGTAACAAAAATAGGTTCTGTCGTACATTAGATGAAATCTAACTTGTATTAACCATTTTCTACTGATTTTGTTTTCTATGTCTATAAATATTATAATCATCCTGGTATTGAAAACTGTTGTCATAATTTTTAATTAATTTTCTGTTAACTCCAAACGTAATTAGTGTTTGCAGCTTGCTTGTAAGAGTTTAATTTTTTTTTTAATAAAAACTTTAACAAGAAAGTTGAATAATAAAAACCTTTTATTTGACATATATGCTTTGCTAATAACCGTTTAGCATATATGTCATTTGAATGTTAATCAGCTGTTACGTCGAAGTTAGAGGCTTGGACTAAATAGAAGGTAGCACGAGCATGTTCATTTTAATCCAATGTTCTTTAATAAAATACCAAGTTTTAATAAAAATACAAAAAATAAATTTTTTATTTTTGTAACACTTTTTAATTTATTTTTGTAAGCTAATAATTTAAAGTATAAAGCTGAGAAATATTATTTAAAAATATATAGTTATTTTGCTTTACTTTAAAAGGTTTTCCCTTTTCAAAGACTCTGCCGCTTTTGATTGCAAAGTTTTTTTTTTCGATTGCGCCTTCAAATTAACGCCTTTTAAGTTTTTCAAATTTAACTTTCTCATGCGCGATCTTGAAATTTTCAAGTTTCGTTTACGCATTTGCTTAAATTTTTTTCTAAGTCTAACTTGACAAAGTTATACTTCAAAGTTTAATTCAAATTTTACTCAAGTTCGCTTCTTGCATTTCACTCTTATACCTTGACAAACGGCAAGCACCATGCCCTACATGAACAAAGAAATGGAAATCACTAACTTTTTGAAGTTTCATACGAGTTCTAATTTCCACTCTTTTACCACGTACAAAACACACCCTCAACTTTTCTTATGACGCAATTAAAAATGTACAACTTATATACAATGCAATTAAAAATATAAAGCAAACAATAAAACTAAACCCAAGAAGATAGGTAGTAAGAAATAGGTATTACTATAGAACATGAAAAGTTTTTTTACATGGCCGACGACACAAGTTTCGAAGTGGAGGGGCACAATTTTCATATTCTAAAAAAAGTGCCCACTGGGCCCACAGCTCCAACTCCCGGAGTAGTCGGCTTTGTTATTAACTTATTTTATTTTTTTCTATAAGATACAAAAAGTTAGGCGGAAGCAAAATTTATTTAACTATTTACCCAAGCAATTAGTTCTTTACCCAATCAGAATTACCCAGTTATCAAAATTTTTTGTAAATCTATCGCCTTTAAGGAGAGTGAAAACCCAAGTTTTGAAACCGGTAGGTTTAAAATATGGGAAAGAAAAAAATTATATTTTTTATCTGATATTTTTATAAATAAAAATTTATTTCTTTAAAACAATCCTCATAAATATTTTTCAATTTATTTGGGGTGTGTACGACTTGTTTCAGTATTATTTATTTTAAAAAACCGGAGATAAACGGAATTAAAATGGCGGACAATGTTGATGGAGTCCCGATCCGTCATGAGAAAGGAAATTTCTGGTATGGATTTACATTACTCTTACATGTTATTAATTTGGACAAAATTGATTTCATTTTTACATATTAAATAATGAGTTTCAGTTTCATTATTTATAGAAAATCGGTATCCATAATTTATATTACTTACATTTAAAAAATTATTCTTTTCGTTTATTTTTATTATTATTATAAAATTGTTTTTTATAAGATTCTAGAAAAACTTTTCAGTTTTGAACCCCATATTATCTATTTAACTTTTTTAATTATAATTTTTACAATTTATTTGTATGCTACTATTTTCGATTTTTTATTGCTATTATTGTTTTTATTGTTGTTATTTTTTATTTGTTGAATCTTTTTTAATTACACACTCACACATATATATATATATATATATATATATATAATATATATATATATATATATATATATATATATATATATATATATATATATATATATATATATATATATATATATGTATATATATATATATATATATATATATATATATATATATATATATATATATATATATATATATATATATATATATATATATATATATATATATATATATATATATATATATATATATATATATATATATATATATATATATATATATATATATATATATATATATATATATATATATATATATATATATATATATATATATATATATATATATATATATATATATATATATATATATATATATATATATATATATATATATATATATATATATATAAAGAGAGAGAGAGAGAGAAAGAAAGAAAGAAAGAAAGAAAGAAAGAGAGAGTTTTATAAAAGCAAAAAAAGTTTAAAAGAAATATCAGTTAGTTATCCAGTAGGACGACCAGACTTGTATTTTGCTTTTATTGCTCTTTTGTAAATTATCACTTGAAGATTTTTACTTACAAAAGCATGTTTAATAATAAAACTATATTTTGACTCATATGTTTGTATGCATTGTGCATATATATGTCTGTCTGTATAAGATTGTGCATATATATACAAGGATACGCACATATACATTTACATATATACGCACCCACATACACACGCATATATACGTAATAAATAAACACATATAAATAAATAGATAACACATATATGTGTTATGTAGGTTCTTATGCCTCATCAGTTTTTAACTGTTTGTAGTTGCTCCTTACTTTTGTATATATATGCAGTTATTAAAGTGAAAATATATTGATTAATTAAGTTGATTGCATCCTTGTTGGAAAACTTAGATATAAAAAATATACTCATGAACCTTTGTTGGTAATCTTACTTGCAGTGTTATCAGAATAAAAATGCCCATAACTAATCTGTGAAGCAAGTTTACTCCAATAAAGGTGTCATATTTAAATAAGAAAATTATATCAAAACATTAAAATAATTAAATTATTTAGCTACAGAAAAAAAATTTGTTAATTGTTATAGTAAGATTTAATTGTACGAAATCGATTAAAATGAATCAAAATTAATCTAAAGTAATTAGCATTTGTATATTTATTTAGACTATTCTAAATTATATTCTATGTTAGTTTTAAAAGTTATATTTGTTCAGGTATTGGAAATGTAGTGACAACCGCCAATAAAACATTACTGAAAAAAACTTTTAACAGCCAGACTTTTAAAAAATTTAGTTGTTCTATATCATGATTGATTTTGTTACTTAAAACATACAGCATTCATTAAAGCATATATGCTTAAAATTAGCTAGCATAAACATGTTTTGTATATAACAAAATATGTTTCTCATGTTTAACTATATAATGATTAGGTTTAACCTGATTAATATATATTGTTTAATAATCAAATTTTATTTTTCCACCAGAATTATCTAAGGTTTAAACCTAAATATTATTCCACTTTTTTATTCTGGAAGTGAAATTCCTTGTAAACATTGAAAATATGTACAAAGAGTATATTAAAATTGTTTAAATAAAACAAGTGTTACAAACATAAAATTTTTGGGAAAAAAGTTTAATTGGTGCTCTGTTTTTATTTTTATTGCAATATTTAAAGTTTTTAGTATATTACTCGCTGACTTTTTAAAAGAAAAAATAATAGTTGTGTGCAAAACTGTTAATACGTATTCAAAACTGTTAATACATATTCAAAATTGTTAATACATATTCAAAACTGTTAATACATGTTCAAAACTGTTAATACATATTCAACACTGTTAATACATATTCAAAACTGTTAATACATATTCAAAACTGTTAATACGTATTCAAAACTGTTAATACATATTCAAAAAATCTTTTGTATTTAGTTAGTTTAGTTAATTAGACAAAACATGATTGTGTCAAAATAATAGTTGTTTGCAAAACTGTTAATACGTATTCAAAACTGTTAATACATATTTAAAACTGTTAATACATATTCAAAACTTTTAATACATATTCAAAACTGTTAATACGTATTCAAAACTGTTAATACATATTCAAAACTGTTAATATATATTCAAAACTGTTAATACATATTCAAAACTGTTAATACATATTCAAAAAATCTTTTGTATTTAGTTAGTTTAGTTAATTAGACAAAACATGATTGTGTCAAATGTTGAGAAAATAAATATTTTTAAATTTTAAAAAATCGGAATCTAAGTAATCATTCAATAACATTATTACATATTAACATTTCTACATTGTTTTGAGTTTTGCATTAATTTATTAAATTGCAGCAGGGTAACCTAATCGAACCTCGCCCACATCCGCACTGAAATTGATGTTGACAGGCTATTATTAGAATTGCGCAGCTGAACTATACATCATTAGATACCTTATTCCTTCAGGTACAAAAATATGTAAAATTATTTAGATTTAATGAGAGTAGTTGGTGGTACCATTATAAACTGTACAGTGTTTAAAAAGCACTGATCCTTGCCCACTTGAACTCAATCTTGTCATGTTGATTTAAAGTCACCCACTGTGAAAATTAAAAAAGAACTTATACTTGCGTAGGGCGACATTATATACAGGTGAGTGAGATTAAATCTCTTTAATTTCTATGCTCAATTGCACCATTTTAATTAGAAAAGTATAAAATCATGGGGTTTTTTTGTGAATGCGCATTTTCTCCCTAGATTCTGACTTGAATCTGGATTCTGAGATCAATCTCAATTGTAATTGTAAAATGAGTAAATAAAGTATAGTTTCAAAACATCAATGCTTTCGAGCCATAGAGATATGACAAATATTGTCTTCTTTTTGCCCATGAGTCATGAGTTTAATTTTTATATTGAGCAGCTGTGGCGTAGTGATTAGAGCATGGTACTCATTGTATTTTTTGTTGTTGCTATAGATTTGTTGTCATGATTTTCTTTTCTTTTTTTCTCAGCCAATATTTTTTTTCTTTTTCTTTGAGTTGGTTAGCAGCATTAACAAACTGCAGTTGTTTTCTTTTGCATTTTCTCTTTCCTGTTAGATTTCGTCTTAGTGATATTTCAGCTGTGCTAAGTATGCTTCTTGAGAAGTAAAGACACTATTTAAGCTGATCTTTTCTGTTCGCTATTTTTTTCCGTGCAGTGGCCTTAGGATATGCCAAGACATCATCATCTCCATCACCTGCATTGATAAAAAAATATATATTCAATAAAAGAACAAGTATTTAAATAATTTTAAATTTTGAGTTATTTTAAAACTAAAAATTTATTAAAAGTTGCATTGTTGCTATGCAACTATTGATCACTTGATCAAATGAAATGATAAAAAAACTTTAAAATGATTGACTTACCAGGGTAGGATGAGTTTGCAAATGGAAAATCTGAAACTGTAATAGAATTAAAGTTTGATGGTTCTAAGGTTTCTTTTTTTTTTGCTTGGTAAGATTGGTAAAACTATTCACAATGCAATCAACATTTTTGTCTTCAACTGGATTGACTAAATATGCAAGCTGATTATTATGAACAACAGTCTCTGCTTCCAAAATAGAAGTGTTGCTTTGTAATGAACTGTGAGTTGCATTATCTTCTTCAGTGCCATTTTGTAATTGTTCTAGATAATTAGCAACTTTTCCAGCATCTATAGAAGCATCAACATTTGAAGAATTAATTTCTTGAACAATTGATGATTGGAATTCCTAAGAAAATAATAAATGATATTATTGTTGCTAGAAGTTCCCAAGCTGAAGCAAATATCCCTGCAAAATTTGAACGACAAGTAATAATTCCTGTAAACTGACCCATCAGATCTTGTACTGTAGAGCAATAATAATCCTTCAGTGGCTTGAATAAGGTGCGGCGCATGGTTGAAGCCAGTTTGATGTGTGTGAAGGCATTTCAACTATATGGTTCTGGATAGCAATATAAAGTTGTGAGAATCGTGCCCATCCAGAATCAATAACTAAGGGCGTTGTGGACCAATGTTTTCTAAAAATGTCTTGGTAAACTATAGGGTTGCTAGGCCCTGTTTAGTCCAGCCATTATCGGACCAGCTCAAATTTGTTCCCAGAGGCGCGAACTCAGTGTTAAAACCTCATAAAGACCTGGATGTCTTTACCTTCACTATGAACTTGCCCTGTGCATTCACACATGCAATAACATTGATTGACTCTCGATTTTCACTCGTTCGACTATGGAGGTTTTTTGTGTCGTTTCGTGCAACCACTTTTCTTGGTTTTACGTCAAGTTGTAGACCAGTTTCATTCATTTTCTATATGGATTCTGTTTTAACGTGAAAACCATTTTTCACCATAACATCATTCAAAGCACTAAAGTACTTTAAAACTTTATCTTTACCCATACACTGATTTTGAACTGAAGCTGTACCCTCAGGTTATAGCAGAGTAAATTTATGCCCATGCTGGTGTTTAACCCTAGTCCACAACTGGTTGCTTGCAAATCCTTTCTTGAAGTTGAATTAATGTTTTGCGGCAATTTTCCCAGCATAATTCAGGAACTGTGACTTTCCAAAACCTACCCCTAACTTTGCTCTATTGCTGGCATAATCAATAAGTTTTTCTTCCAGAGCAAAAAGTAGGGTAGGTTTTCTTCCTGGCTTTGCTCCAATAACAACTTCTCCAGAAAGTCCGCCCTCAGTATTGTACATGGCGCATTGTACAATATTGCTGCCTTTTGCACTGAAAATGATGGCTCTGATCTGACATGCTTAATTGCACTCATCATATTTTCTTCACTCTATTTCAGGAATTTTCCCCGTTTCTTAACATTGACTGATTGATCAATGGAATAATTGGAACCATTGACACGAGTTAAAGAAACATCAATTGTTAGTAGCTGTTTCATTTGATAAATGTTAAGAGCACTACTACCAAATGTTGAAGGAGTTATACCATCATGAAGATGAGTTGTATTATAACATATTAGATGGCAGTTTTTTGGTTAGGATGTTTTATTTGCTTTACTAAGTCTAGAAGTTGTTGCGGAGAATATCCAATTTCTGTAAAAATATTAATTAGGAACTCAATATATATTTTTAAATAATCGCTAGTGCATAATTTATAAGCTCTTGCAAGAAAACCTTTAAAAATCTTTAATGCAATATGTGGTGTTATACACAATAGCGGTTTTACTAGTACATTTGTTATTGAAAATATCAAGAATTTAAAAGTGTCAAAAATGATTCTGGTTTATCAGAGTTAAAAAAGAAGTCGTGGCAGTCATCAACATATCATTTAAGCGTTATTAGTCCAACATTAATAGTTAATACTTTTAGAATTGCATTTTATCAAATATGTTGTAAGTAAGCTTCTGAAATTGCTACCATTATGGATAATCCAATTAGAACCAGAGTTAAGATATAAATTTTGTTATTAGCATTTACTTAGATAAAGCAGAAATTAGCATTTACTTAGACAAAGTTTAATTAATTTATGAATGTCAGTTAAAGTTAATTTAATAACTTTTTTAAAATTAAATAAACAGCTTTAAAATTAAATAAACAGCTGAAGATTATTATTTAAAATATCAATAATAGCTAAAATTGCTTTTTCAATATATGTGTATATATATTTGTGTGTGTTTGTATTGATTAAATATATATATATATATATATATATATATATATATATATATATATATATATATATATATATATATATATATATATATATATATATATATATACAGGCCTTGTTTTAAATAACAAATGCTTAACGCATTAGCTTAATGTGAATTTGACGTCATAAAATTCTCTTTATCTTTTCATTTTTTAAAGACATTAACTTTTTCAAACTGCAATAGTATTAAGATTACCGTAAAATGAGTTAAATATTGTTTAACTCGCTTTTTATTAATACTACATTTTTTTTACATTAAATAATAAAGTTGATTTACATTAAAAAAAAACTTTCATGTAAAAAATGTTTTTCTCAGCATTTGTATAAATGAATTAAAATGTTTTTTTTTTAAAAAAAAAATCATTATTTCTTAAATAATCATTAAAAAAAATCGCAACTAAAAAAGATTTTTTATTTTAAAAAAATTAGCAAGTAACAAATAAATAAATTACATTAATTTATCTACCTATATTTATTAAAAGTTTATTATTTTTTTAGCGATTTTGTTTTGAAACACCATTTGTTAAAATTATTTCGTATAAATCATGTATCAAAAAATAATTGCTGTGCTCTACTTGTGCGTTATAAAAATAGTTTAACTTACGCTTAGCCTCGTAACACATTTATTTAATATTTAATTTTGAATAAAAAAAAATGTTTAGGAAAGAAAACCAAAATAACAAATCCGAAAAAACTTTTTTTTAAGAATAAATAAAATTTAAATATTTAACAATACTTAGTATCATTTTTAAATAAATTTAACAGTTAAGTTGAACCGAAGCATTAACTTTAATTTTTTTATTTAAATCGAAATTAAATTACATATTTTTTATAAGAATAAAATTATATATTTTAATTAAAGTAGTTTTGAATTAAATCATTTATTTTTTTATCAGAATTAAATTACATTATAATGATCTTTGCTTCAAGCTTAAAGTATTAGCGTTTTTCAAGCAAAAAAATTGATTATTGCATTAAAAAAAATTATTTATAAAGTATTTATTACTATATAGAAACTTAAGTTAATGCAATCAAAAGTTGCATAAATAATACTGTCCTCTCAAGATGATAAAAGTTTTTATTATATATATATATATATATATATATATATATATATATATATATATATATATATATATATATATATATATAAATATATATATATATATATACATATATATATATATATATATATATATATATATATATATATATATATATATATATATATATATATATATATATATATATATATATATATATATATATATATATGATGGAGTAACCTCTGAGGAGAAATCTTTTAAATATAGTTTAGTTTGAATGTTAGTGATTTCCTCTTTTTGATATACTTTGTACTCATGTTTTTCTATTGTGTTATTTGTGATGGTTATATCAAGAAAGATGAGCATTGTTATCTCATTTTTAACTTCAGTTATGTATTGTATTGCCATTTGACAAAGGAACAGGTAATGTAAGAATAGAACATTCTAAAGCTTTAAAAAAATCCATGAACAAATTGGTTTGACAAAAATTATAAGTGATTCTGTCCTCGGAACTAGGGTCAGCATTTGGCAATGCCGACCTAATTGCTGACCTTAAAGTGTTTAAGGTCAGCAAAAAATGGCCGACCTCGTTTTTTATGTCTTATGGTAAGACCTTTGTATTAAATTTTTTTTACCAACCTGATGCCGCCCTTTGAAAGATTTTTTGTAATTTCTAGGGTTGGTGAAGACCCTATTCTGATATTCTCTGGAGACTGATATTCCCTGACTGAGATTCTCAGAGACTGATATTCCCTGGTTTGGTGGCACACCAAACCAGGGAATATCAGAATTCTTAGTTAAGACAATACAACCAGTCTTAAATGTAAGTATGAAACAATTAAAAAACTCTTTTGACTTTTTTGAAAGCAGAAAATTGGATTATTGCAAACAATAAGATTCAGGTGTGTTATAATGTTGTGAATCTGTACCCATCTATTTTATTAAAAAAAGCCACCTTTATACTTTTAGAACGATTAAATAACAATTTATCATATAAAAACTTAACAAAATTAAGTATACCTGAAACAAAACAACTCTTGGAACTTTGCTTATATCAATGTTGTTTTCCTTGAAACAATAAGATTCATGTAATGGAAAACTCCATTACGTGAATCTTGCTTCACATAATAAAGACCAATCAGCCTTTCTTTCATGGTGGTTCTCGCGGAATCTTTTCTAAAATTCCATGAAGATAATGCAATGACATTGATGTTAAACCCTGCACTTAATCTAAAATCATTTTTTTTATTGTCAATGATATGTTGATGATAGTCATGTAAGATTTCCTAACATAAAAATAATTTAAAGATATTTTAAATCAACAACATCCTGCAATACAATTCACAATTGAAGTTGAAAATAAGACAAAAACGCTTCACTTTCTAGGTATAACCATCATAAATAACACATTAGGAAAATATGAGTAAAAAGTATATTGAAAAGTGGCAATTACTAACATTCAAACTAAACTGCATTCAAATCACATTCAAAATATTTTAACATTTTGAGTTTAACAAAAGCTTTGTTTATTACTCATAATCTACTTAAGCATTTTTAATCAACATTTAATCATTAATCAGTCAAAAACATTAATGATATTTAATCTTAATTTTTAAACTTGTTAAATCATGTTTATATATTATATATTTATCATTTTTGAAATTTTATATGATAATTCGCTTTTTAAAAAAATTAAGTAAATAAATTTTAATGAAAAATTTAAATTTATTTAATAAAAGATTTAATTTAAATATGATATATTAAATATTAAGTTAAATATTTTTTAAAACAGAAAGTAGAAAAAAATTTTTTTTTAACTATCTGTTTCTTTATCTAAAAAAGTTCACAATTTATTTTTACAATTGAAAAAAAGGTTTTGGTGTAACATAAATAGCTTATCGCTTTGGTTAAATCCTCATTTTCTATGTAAAATTTAAATGTAACACCTCTTAACATGCCCTGTAGATATTGTAGTGGTAGAGTGCTTGCTTCATAAATGAGCTCTGAATTTGATCCCCACTATGTCCATGTTAGTATCACATTAAATTTGTTAAAGTTAAAGCTTTATTTCACCTATATAAATTAACTTATACAAGTGTAGAGGCAGGCACGGGCGATCGCCTGCCAATCTTGCTGAGGCCTGTATATACATATGCAATAAGTTATATATATAGTTTACTTGTTTAAACCTTCATCTCTGTAATTTACTATGTCTTGAATATATTTTTTTCACAATTACTATACAATATTTTGTGCACAATTTTTCTTTTATATTTATATTTTATTTTATTATAGTTTTAATATTTTTATTAGATTACTGTCTTTTAATTAAATATTATTAGGAAGCAGATTTTAAATGAAGTTGCAGCTCAAGCCACTCGTAGACTTCCAACAAACAAAAGGTTATTAGTTGTTGGTATGTCAATAAAATTAAAAAGTTTATTTAAAGTATATTATTTTATAAATAAATTATTTTAAGAAAAATATTTTTGCTTGAATCATATTTATTTTTTTGTAAGTGTGTTCTGTTAACTTTTCTTATTGTGTTTCTTTATTATTCATACATGTTCTGTTAATTACTTTAATCATCTGATTCTGTTTAAACAGTGTTTTCATTGATTTAACCTTTTTTATTATTGTTGTTATTTCTATTATTTTTGTTTCAAATTTAATACAGGTTTTTTTCTCCAGGTAATAAATGGTATAAAGACTTTTTTTAAAGAGCTTTTAAAATATTTTTTTAAAAGAACTTTTATAATATTTGATTTCAAAACCTTTCATAATATTTATTTTAAAGACCTTTCGTTATATTTATTTTAAAGACCTTTCATAATATTTATTTTTCATTTTTATAAAAGTTGAGTAGAAATCAAAAAAGTTAAACATTAATTTTTAATAGTTTTTTTTAATTAAAATTTAAAAATTTAATTTTTTTTTTCTTATTTAATTAATTTTTAACTGTTAATAAAAAATTAAAATAAATTTAATATTTTAATTTATATTAGAGTTTATCAAGAAATTTTCACAGTAAATGATGCTATAGTAGTGACAATATCATCTTAATAATATACCACTAAATGATGCTTAAATTCTTGTGGTTAAGATTTTTTCATTATATTATGATTTCTTAATTTTTATGCTCATAAATTGTTACTTTGAATATTCTAAATAATTAGCTGACCAGACTCATTAAAAATAGGTCTTTTTAAGTTTATTCCACACCGATCATTTCTATAATTTCTTATTTACTTTAATACTTTTTAGTCAACTGTAGAAAAATAATTTATTAAAAAAAAAAACTGCAAAAAATAAAAAAATAACATACACACCTCGACATATAATAGATTTATAAAATAGTTTGTTTTACTCTTACATGCTTAACTTTGATAGCTCAGTGGTTTAATGCGCTGTCATAGGTGTTGTTTTGTGAGAGTTTAAATCTACCCCTTAATTTATCTTCAGAATAGATGATCATTTGCTCTTTTGCGTGGAGATTTTCATTCTGTGTATTTTAAAGGTCATTAAAGCGAAAAATTGAAAAAGGAAAAGATGTTAAAGCGAATTTTTTCTTCATTTTTTTTTTTTTTTTACAAAACAGTTTTTATCTTTGTTTTTCAAAACCAAATTAACTTATTTTTAATGATTTAAATTATTATTTTATCAACAATTTTATATTATTAATGTTGCTACTTCAAGTATATTAAAATATATATTAATTTGTTTTTATTAATTTTTTTTCTTTCTAATAGTTAATCAATGCTAATAGAAACCAGCAATTTTTTTGCATCAACGTTTTTAAGCATATTTTTATTAAATATAAGGAAATATAATTCGATTTATTAAACCAAATTTTTTTGTTTCACTTTTTGTTGGAAAACAATTTGAATAAAAAAATTGAATGAAAACATCAATTTAAAAACCATTTGAATGAAAAACTTTTATTTTCTTTAATCTTACTTGTTTGGTCTATAGATTATAGACACTTATGGTCTATAGGAATGTTTTTGCACAAATATTAAGTTTTATGACGATAATTTTTTAATTTATTATTTAGAACAATTACATTTATTTGCTTAAACAAATAATTTTTAAGTTTTTAATCTTGAGTTATAATAAATAAATATTTTTGTTTTGTTTTTGCCACTATGTATGTCATCTAGTTTTTCCACATTTTGAACTTCATCTAAATTTGCTGCATAATTATTATGAATTCATTGATTATATTTATGATTGATTATATTTATGAATATACAATAGTAACCATACTTCGTTTATTTTATATTGTTATTAAATCTATATGACTATAATGGATGTATAAGAATCAATCAAAAAGACTATCATATAAGACTATTATATATATATTACATATTACAATTATTCTTACATATTACAATATATATATTACATATTACAATTATTCGGTTTATGTTCATATAATTATTTGATAGGACTACAATATAGTCTGCATTCTTTATAAAGCCAACTTTTTTTATTTCTAATTTGAATTCCTTTTTCTATTTTCTGAATAACTTTAATTAGAACTTCTGTATAAATTAAAAATAATAGCAGGGATAGAGGCCTACCTTGCTTGACAGCAATTTTTGCTTTATATTCTTTGTTATGCTTATGTTAATGCTTTGTATATATGCTTTTGATAATTTGTATATATGATTTTGATAACTGTTAATGCTTTGTATATATGCTTTTGATACCTTATAGTATTTTAATCAAATTTTATCAAATTGTAATAATTATTGATTATAAAAAATAATTATCTCATATTTTTTATGGAACATTAAAAGTTTTCATTTTTTGTCTTTCAGGTGACAGCTATTCTGGAAAGACAAGTTTGATTTCCAAACTTCGAACACCTGGCGATGATAATTATAAAAAAGGAGCGGGATTAAAATATACATACTTAGACGTACATGACGAAGAACGTGATGGTACATATATATATATATATATATATATATATATATATATATATATATATATATATATATATATATATATATATATATATATATATATATATATATATATATATTTCATCAAAATATATCACCTAACATATATATCTGTGTGTATGTGTGTATGTATATTTAAAGATAACTGATATGTGTATCTGTTCTTATAGTTGTAGGTGTATTAAGTTATAAATTCTTTTTTTTTGTATAACTGTTATCACACACACGCGTATTCAGCCCTCATAATTATTAAAAATAAGGTTGGTAAAAACTTGCCAACCTTAATCTATTAGAGGTCGGCATTAGGTCGCAAAAAAAAAAAAATTGGTACAAAGGTTTCACCATAAAACATATAAGCAAGGTCCTCAATTTTTTGTAGAACTTTATCAACTTCTAGATCGGCATTGCTGTATGTCAACCCTAATTTCAAGGGCTGCATATATATATATATATATATATATATATATATATATATATATATATATATATATATATATCAAGCCTTCTCAGGAAAGGTGTGTGGTTTTTCGTCTCATACGAAAACATTTTTCAAGTTAGAGAACGTGATCATGGCCGTTTGCGCAAGTTTTATTATATGCGTTGCTCAAAAATTATTGTAAATTTAATAACTACATAAGAAATTAAAGTAAACTTAAATAGAAAACAATAATAATAGTTCAAAAATATTTTGTGTGTTGTTTTTATTTTTGTTTTTTCTTAGTGGTTATTATTATCGGCAACAAAATTTATTAAGTCAAAACAAAAAAACAAAAAAACGGTTTTAGGCGTTAAAAAGGATGACTTTCCCATATTTTATGTGTTTTTTCTTTTAAAGAAGAAAGAGAAAATATGTATCGCCATCTGTTTGTAAAATATATTTGTATAATTATAATGTAACAAGTTTATATCAAGAGTTAAATTATACGATCGCGATTGCAAACTCTGGTAAAATATTAGGTCTTTATTTTAGTTCATGCAAAGCTGTGTACTTTGTTTATAAGGAGAAAATTATTAAAGGTTTGCTAGCGAGAAAGTTACAAAAAACAAAACAAAAACAGTAAACTTACAACTACAAAAGTAATAATACTTTAGTCACTAACTGCATTATAAAAGTAATAAAACTATAATAGTGTTATTACTTTTATAAAGCACTTATTACTTTTAAAGTTCATTCTTTGTTCAAACAACATTATTAATTCCAAACATTTATTAAAGTAGAAAAGCATCTAGAAAAAATAAAGCGGATATTCAAATATTAAAAATTTCAGGAGTTTTAGCATATCACTTAAACAACATTATAAAAAATACTTTATAAAAAGTATAGCATTACGAAAAACGTTACGTAAAAACGCGCATTAATTTTAAAATCAACCAATAAAAAATTTTTATTGGTTATTTTAAAATTAAAGCACATCGTTACAGTCCATTAGTAACGTTTTTCATAATGCTAAACTTTTAATACGATACATTTTCATAAAGTTGTTTGTCACGTTTTTATGAGTTACTTTAGTTTTAATATTATTTGAACATCCACTTTATTCTTCTATTTATTTTTCTACTTCAATTCAAATTTGGGAATACTAATGTTGCTTGAACAAAGAATGAATTTTAAAAGTTATAATCGCGTTATAAAAGTAATAACACTATTATAGTTTTATTACCTTTGTAAATCGTAAGTTTGTTTTATTTTTTTTGCTAACAAATTTAAGTTAATTCTCCCCTTAAAAACAAGGAACAGGGTTTTGTATAAACTTAAATTTTGAATACTAGATATTTTTTCCAGATTTTGCATTTTGCATGCGCTTAATTCAACCTTTGTTGTTACATTAAAATTATAGAAATAAATTTTACAAATACATTGCAGTTTGTATTTTTGCTATCCTCTGAAAAAAAAATTAAGAAAAGGAAAATCATTCTTTTTATTGTAGACTTCAAACTGTTTTTTTTTTGCTTCGCCTTATCTAGTTTTTGTTGCTGAATGTAACTCTAAAGAAACAAAAAAAAAAACAGTACACAAGTTATTTAAATTATTGATTTGTTTTTATTTTTTTCTATTTCAATCTCTTTTAATTTTGTTAGTTTTGTTTTTTTTGTTTTTGAAACTTTTTCAACATTATTATAAAACTTGCAAACGGCCGTGTTCACGTTTTCTAAAATAGTGTAATCGCGTGTGGTCAAATGAGGAAAAAAAGGCTTGATATATATATATATATATATACATATATATATATATACATATATATACATATATATATATATATATGTAATGGTTGTTCGATTTCTCACACTTGTACCCCCATATTGATTGCGCATTGGTATTAGAAGTAAAAAAATAACTTTACATTTACAGAATACTAGACAAATAAAGCTAGACTATTTTTTAATGAAAAGTTCTGTTAAAATAATTTATGACTTTAGTTTTTTATTGTTCAAAATTATTATCCAACAAAACCTAGAATAAAAGTTAAGAATTGGAAGAACATCCAAAAACAAAACAAAAAAAATATTTTATGTAGTAAACGACCAGGGCCCTGACCTCGGCTAAAAATGAGACTAGGCTAAAATGAGACTCGGCTAAAAATGAGACGGGCTAAAAATAAGATTCTAATTCTTTATATATTATAACTTTATACTTGCATTTACTATTTATTAAACTTTGGCATATTTATGATTTTAATAAATAGGGACAGATACAGGCCCCCGCCCTGGTCAAATATCAATTCTGGTCCATTTACTACTTTTATGTAATATATGTGTCATGCAAAGACAACAATCAAGAAATTCAAATAAACTACCCAAAATTTGCATCATTTAGACCAAAGTGGTGTATATTCCCAGGTGCAAAAACAAACACAAAAATAAAATGTGTTCCACACACATTTTATTTTTGTGTTCGTTTTTATAACCAAAATGCTAAATTAATAATGTATGAATTAAATATTTATAAAATATATAAAATGTGAAATAAAAAAAATCCATGCTCATGCGGGTTGCCACTATCTACCTTTATCAAGAGTAATTATTGGTGACTATACAAAAAATTATGCTTTTGTAGCCTAAAGTGGGAAAGAGAGTTATCACTGGAACACCCAATAATTTTCTTTACATCCATTAGTGATATACTATAAAGATAAGATAGGTATACTAAAATTTATTTTACACTTCTTTATCAAACATTACACACAATGTAACCTTAAAATTTTCCAATTTTTTCTGATGGCTGTGCTGCCTCTTTAGGAGATTATGTAGCGATAGTCTATAATAATTGGTGGACTTGCATTGTAACTTAAATTAACTTGGAAGTGTTGAAGTTAAGTTCTTCCACCCAAAAGGTATATTTTCAAATGAAAGGTTTCAAAAAAAGGTTCAGACCTTAAGACAACTAGAGGTTTACTGCAAAACACCAAAATATTGAAAATATTTTATGTTTCATGCTAACAATGAAAGTTAGATGCTAACAATGAAATGTTTAAAATATTTTCTGTTTTACAATTAGTTGTTATCTTGGTTTTTAAGCATATTTCAGCTTTTGTTTTCATGACAAAATTAAAATTGTGATCCCAGAATTAAAATTGTATCAACATTTTTGGCTAAAATTTTGCATGCAATGTTTTTTCATAAATAAGTCAACATTTAGAACAAAAAGAAAGTCGCATGGTTTAATGAACTATGGGTAATTTCATGTAGAATTTCTCAGAAACCAAACTGAGGCTTCTGAGAAAAACTAAAGCAGGGTGTTACATTATTTTAAAATATCAAAATGTTAAATGCCATAGTTTAAAATACCATATTTAAGAAATAACATTGTATATTGCCATTTAAGTATACATTTTTTAATTTTGCATTATACTAATGGCTTTTTTGTCAATGATTCTTTTACATTTTATAAATTTTTATGATATTTTGTTTCACTTAGTATTTTATAAAGTTTTATAGCTTGTAACTTTAACTGTCAAAGTAAAACTCTCTAAATAAATATTCAAAAAAAAAAACTACAGAATTGTTATTTGATTGATAATAAACACAAATAAACTTGGCATCTTCATCGTCAATAATATCTTTTGTTCTTTCAAAAGATAAGGTTTAAAACATTAAGTTTGAAAGGATAAAGTTTCAAAATTAAAAAAGAATTATTATACAAAAGCTATTAATAGTTAATTACTATTTGTTATATAAATGTTTACAACATAATCACTTACAAAATTAAATTAAATGTATTTTTAATCTCAGGTATTTACATTAAAAAAATATTTTCTTATATGTTTCTTGTTTAAAATGTCAATTTTAAACATGAATAAAAAATAAAAATGTAAATTTTAATCACGAATAAAAAATAAAAATGTCAATTTTAAACATGAATAAAAGATAAAAATGTCAGTTTTAAACATGAATAAAAAATAAAAATGTCAATTTTAAATATCATTTTTAACTATTGAAACCTATGACTTCTTCTATGGTGGTGTGGTGTATGGTGTCTAATAAGGTTTTTTTTTCCTAGAGCACACACGATTAAATGTTTGGATTCAAGATGGCTCTTCACATTTTAATAATTTATTAAAATTTGTATTTACAAGTGAATCAGTAAAGGACTTAATGATAGCCATATGTGTAGATATGTGCAAACCTTGGAGAATTATTGATAGTTTAGAAAAATGGAATCGTATATTACATGAACATTTGCATTCTTTGCACTTACCAGCTAAAGAACTTAATGCAATGGAAGCTAAACGTATGATTTTTTTTATAGTAATTTGATTTTTGATATATTTCTAATTTATCTTTTAATAGGTATGTATATATATATATATATATATATATATATATATATATATATATATATATATATATATATATATATATATATATGTGTGTGTGTGTGTATATATATATATATATATATATATATATATATATATATATATATATATATATATATATATATATATATATATATATATAAATATATATAAATTATGGCAAATTATGCCAAGTCCGCAATGTTCCGGTGCCCAGCACTCTGATTAACTTGCGCTGATTATGTTTCCCTATATATCAAGTTTCTTTTCAATAAACAACTATATTTACACTTAAAGTCACAAATTCAAATTACACAAACTAAAGTGTAAATATTCTTTTTGCCTCAGGGTTGTTAATACTTTGAATAACTTGCTGTCTGACATCGTTAATGCCAAAAACTTCAAGAGCTTTTAAATTAAAATTAACATTATCAATTTCAAAAAATACTGTTCTGGTTAACTTATTTTTTATTTTATAATTGTGGTATTATATATACAACCCTCGGAATTAAGGTTGGCATTCGGCAATGCCAACCTAACTGCTGACCTGAAAGTGTTTGAAGTCGGCAAAACATTGCTGACCTTGTTTCTATGGTAAAACCTTTGCATCAAATAATTTTTGCTGATCTGATGCAACTTATTGTCGACCTCATTTTTCTTAATTCTGAGGGTTGTATATAGTATATATTTTTTGTAATTTATCTTATTTTAATTGTTTAATTTCAAGAATTAACTTCAAGAATGAACAAACATAAAGTTTATTTAGTAAATATTCTAATGAAAAAATTCTTTCACACAATAAAAAGTAGGTATTCAAATATCTGTATAAATCAGTTTCCTTTTTTGTAATATATTCTGATTATTTAAAAAAAAAATTCTAAAAAATATTTTAAGTGAGAAACGTCTCTATTGAGTAAAGGGCTTTATGGTTATTAACTTCATAACTCTATTAGACTTATATTAAGAAGTTTATTGTTTGAAGTAAAAGCAATCCTGTTAATAATATTTCAACACAATTTAAAGTACCACTACCACTAATACAGCTTTTGAATCTTTATTAAAAATTCCTTTTAAGATACCTTGTGCCCGGTACTGCAACAAAATAGCTGATTCCGAGTACCCAGGAATAAACAGCCCAATAATATGGTCCCTGCGTAAATCAATTTACATGAGCAAAATGAAGCTCATGCAAATATATTTTTTTTTTTTTAAATAATAAAACATCTAGCACATAAAATTTTTTTTACATCTTTTCAAAAAATACAGGGATTATAGGAAATAAAATTATAGGAAAAACATTTTTTTACGTGTTTTTACATAATTGCTTTTAAATAATTTTTAATTTCATTAAAAAATATTGTTAAAAAGCTGTAAAAAAAACAAACAATGAATCATGGCTTTAGTAGTTTTTAAAAAGCTTTAAATTTTAAATTTTTAAATAAAAACTTTTTAAAAATAATTTTTAAATAAATAATATTTTTTAAGTTGCCTTTTTAACTTAAAGCATCTAAGATACTACTTAATCAAAGTGAAAATGATAGGTAAACATATATTTAAAACTTAAATCTTTTTTAATTAAACAGTAATAAAAATTTGTTCATTTAAATTTAAATTACATTACAAAAAAGAAATTTTAAAAACTCATTCATTCAAGTTTTAGTTACAAAAGTATTTTCTTACAATTACTTGCTTTCTTGCATGGAGTTACTTCAGTGCAATTTTTAAATATTTCAAATTAGAAAAAAATGTTTCACAAAGTAGAAAAGTAACGAAGAAACTTTTTAAATATGATGTTAAGCAGAAACACGACACAAAGTATTGTAAATAATAAGGTATCAATAAAAAAGAAATTTGATATTTTCTAATAAACTATTTTAAACTCTATTAAAATAGAGTTTAAAAAATTAATAAAAAAGCCTGCAAAAATGTTTATTGCCTGTGTTGCCTGCTATATCCATTTTAGACAGGTAATTCACCATTTGTTCACACACACATACACACACACACACACACACACACACACACACACACACACACACACATATATATATATATATATATTTATATATATATATATATATATATATATATATATATATATATATATATATATATATATATATATATATATATATTTTATATATATACAACCTTCAGAATTAGGAAAAACGAGGTTGGCAATAATTTGCCGACCTCAATCTTTTTGAGGTCGGCATTAGGTAGGTAAAAATTATTTGATACAATGGTCTAACCATAAAAAACACAGAAACGAGGTCTGCAATTTTTTGTTAACCTAAAACACTTTCAGGTCGGCCTAATTCTGAGGGTTGTATATATATATAATATATATATATATATATATATATATATATATATATATATATATATATATATATATATATATATATATATATATATATATATATATATATATATATATATATATATATATATATATATATATATATATATGTATGTATATATATATATATATAGAGGCTTGGTCAGGAAGCGGGTGCAAACTTGATTATTGACCACAAAAATAATATTTAGTTGCGACAACTTAGCCACATTTATTAGATGTTTTGAGAACATTTCATGTATTTTTAAACTTTTGTTTTATGAACATACATGGAAACATACAAAAGATTAAATGTTCTCAAAACATCTTGGTGCAGAATAAAGAATATTTGTGAACACTAAAAACCCGCCAAATCTACAAACAAACTAATTCTATTGGTTCAAAAAATATGCTGACTATGCAAAGTAATGTTCTAAAGTATTCTGTCTTAAAGAATGTATTATTTGATATTTCTAGCAATAATTGTTATAAGAATATTTTATCAAACAATTATTTTAATTTAATATATTATTTTAATTTAATTTAATAATTATTTAAATTGAATTTACAGGGTGGCCAGCCAACTGGAAATCAGGGAAAAGTCTGGGAAATTTTTTCTAGTCAGGGAAATCAGGGAAAAGTCTGGGATTTTTATTATTTTTTCCATAAGTTAGGGGAAAAAATCTCTTTAATTTCAAAATTAAATTTTTTTAAAGGTTTTTTTTTACTTACTTCCAAAACTTAAAAACTCACACTTTAAAATATAACTGAGTCAGGTAAAAATATAAAAAGTCAAGGAAAAGTCAGGTAATTTAATTGTACAAAGTGGCTGGCCACCCTGATTTATTATTTGAATTTAATTTATTGTTTTAATACTATTGCTCATTCACGGAGATACATCTGCAAAGTCTTTAACATTTTAAACTATTGTTTACAAAAATAGAAGTTTTAAATATATATTTTTTAAATTATCAAATTATAGTTTTGTAAAGTTTATTACATAAAATAGATTTTAGTAGTATGTTTTTTTTAAGTAAATGTAATTTGATGTATGTTTTTTTCATGTTAAAGTATTTCTTTTAAAGCAACTTGTATGATTGATTTTGTAAACAAAAGACTTTTAACAACAACTGCGTTTTTCATGAAATTATCAATTAAAATTAAATTATCAATTAAAATTATCAATGTTAATAAAACTATGAATAAACATACAAGAATAAACTTTTCAAACTATGCGAAGCATGAAACATTCATTAAAATAATAATTTTTTTATTTAATAAACAGTTCAACTAGCGTTAGTTTTATTAGAATCTTGTTGAAATAAGACAAAAGACATAATACAATAAAATAAATCAGACAAAAGAATAAAAAATTAAAAAAATTATATTATACTCTTTAATAAATAGAAGAATATTTTTTCTTTATTAAACAATCATTAGTTGTTACTTTATATTTAAAATGTTACATAATTTATAAAAAAAATTATAAAAAAGCAAAGTTAAGAAAATATTAGTTCTAGACGTAGTTCATTTTGTTTCAAGTTTTTATTTTGCGTAAAAAAATTATTTATCTTTCGATGTACGTACGGAAGGGTCCTTTTTTTTACCAATTACTCTTTGCTTCATGCAAATTTTGATATAAAAATTTAGCAAAATATGTTTGCTTTTCTAAACTGTCTTTTTTTTCAAAAACGACCTCATAAAATTATGCGGTACCAGCCTGTAATCTTAGTTTTTTTTTGTAATTGTCTCTCATCGGTTCAGTTAAATCTTTCTTAGCGCTTTTTTTTGGAAATATTATCAAAACAACTAAAGAGCCGTGGCCAAATTGTCACAACTAAATATTGTATATGTGGTCAGGAATCGAGTGCAGTTGTACCCGCTTCCTGACTAAGCCTGATATATATATATAAATATATATATATATATATATATGTATATATATATATATATATATATATATATATATATATATATATATATATATATATATATATATATATATATATATATATATATATATATATATATATATATTCATATATATATATATGAGAGAGAGAGAGAGAGAGAGAGAGAGAGAGAGAGAGAGAGAGAGAGAGAGAGTATTAAGGTATTTAGTATTTTTGTATTTTTGTTATTAAAGCATTTAATATTTTTAACATGATTATTGTTTCATATAGTAATATTTAGCTGTTTTTTTTTTTAGTTTCAAATGACTTCCAAGCATATAGAGATGTTGAAATTGATAAGGATAAAATTAAAAAAAATTCTTCAGAATCAGACGAATTAAACACACCTCTAGGAGATAAGGTTTTAACAAGTAATTTAGGCATACCCATTATTGTGATTGTAACAAAGGTAAATAGTGTTTAAATAATTTTTTCTTGTATATATATATATATATATATATATATATATATATATATATATATATATATATATATATATATATATAAATAAAAGTAGTAAAAACACTTATTTAATTTTAACTTATTTCACCGTCACTAGGTTTATTAGGAGGCTACTGAAGTTACTTCCTTCCAGCGCCTTTTCCATAAGTATAAAATTAAAAATAATGAAAATCAAAAAAATTAAAAATTAACTTGTTTCTCTGCGCAGCGCCCTTGTTTATCAAGGATCGTGTTTCAGAGTTATAGACTTAAGAGAGGGTTATAACCACAACTAAGTAGCCTTCTTGTCTGTAATGGCCTTTTTGGCCTTGGGGAGGTGAATTAACAAAAAAAAAAAAAGGAAGTTTGCTGTATATAGACTTTTTTTTTTTAAAAAAAAAAAAAAAGCTCCTCAATTTCTGAATTTGGGCTCATATAATTTAGGCGGTTTTTTTTAAAAAAAAGCTGCCTAAATTATTTTTCTAGAATAGCCCCTGAACATATATACATTTATATATACCTTGAAATTGTCTAAGTTTGGTCCTCACCTAACTTTGTAACTTCAGTCATTTAAGAATAAATAGAAAAATGTGTATTTCAAATTTTAAATTTTTTTTTCTTTAATAATTTTTGTTGACTCTGCATAAAAATCGTAATAAAATAATGTTCATTTGAAATCTGCTGATATAATTTGTTTACAAAACAAGAGTTTTGAAACTATGCATACTGTTGAAATCTAAAACAAGTAAAGTATTGAATAAAAGGATAAAATTTAGCACAAATATTATTAAGAGTCACCAAGTTAACAATATAAAACAAAAAAACTATGATTTTTAGATATTAAGTAAGGTGGTTAATATGAAATGACTTTTTTTCTATCTTAATTTAATTGTGTGTTCTAATTTATTTCTTTAGAGTGATTATATGACAACCCTGGAAAAAGATTATAGAGATGAACATTTTGACTTCATACAAAAATATATTCGAGAATTTTGTCTAAAATGTATCCTTTAATACTTGAGTATTTTTCTCAATTATGTTTACCATAACTGTGCACGCACAATTTTGATCATTCTAAATAAATTTAGTTTTAAGTGTTCACTTATCCACTTCCTCAATCACAGTTGTGTTTGTTTATATAAAATTAATTGTGCTTACATACCATAACTGTGCTTACATACAATAACTGTGCTTACATACCATAACTGTGCTTACATAACATAACTGTGCTTACATACAATAACTGTGTTTACATAATATAACTCTTTGCTTACATACAATAATAAAGGTTATTTTTCTGCAAAATTTTTAATTTTTTGTTGGTAAAGCGAATATCTTTTAGTATTCTTATTTAGTTGTTAAGTTGCTAAAGTTTAGCTGATAAAAATTAATATATGAATGAAGGTTTGATAAAATTTTAATTAAATATAAATATGTCAAGATATTTTTGATTATTTTTTTTGTTGAGGAAGTAAGAAAACAACAAAAAAAAGTTGTAAATAAAAAAAAATATTATTGTTCTATGCTTGCTCTTTCTTATTGGTCACTCTTCCTTAGAGAGAAAATAAAATTGAAGGATTAATGTAGTATCTAGTTCGTTCGTTCGTTTTCTTATTTTTTTTTTAACTTATAGTAGTATTAAGCAATTTTTTTTTTTTTTCTCATAATTTATTGATATTTTTTTTTTCATAATTTATATATATATATTTTTTTTTTTTCTCATAATTTATTGATTTTTTTTTTTTCTCATAATTTATTGATATTTTTTTTTCTCATAATTTATTGATTTTTTTTTTTTTCTCATAATTTATTGATATATATTTTTTTCTCACAATTTATTGATATTTTTTTTTTCTCATAATTTATTGATTTTTTTTTTTCTCATAATTTATTGATATATATTTTTTTCTCATAATTTATTGATTTTTTTACAATCTTTAACTAATAATGACAGGTGGTGCTGCATTACTTTACACATCCTCAAAAGAGTCATGCAACATATCTACTTTGTATAAATACATACTTCATAGGCTTTATGGATTCCCGCTTCGTGTACCTCCACAAATAATAGATAAAGATGCTATATTTATGTATATTTTTTCTTTTGTTTTATAAATATCATTGGTTCTGCAAGTTTATTACTGTTGTTAAATATTGTATATACTATTTGTTTTTAAATATTATATTTTTTACATAATATATGTATTATATATTTATCATATTATAAATATTAACATTTTTTATCTTGTATTTTAGACCAATGGGTTGGGATAACATAAATAAAATTTCAATTCTTAATGAACACATTAAAACATTTAATTCAAATGATTCTTTCAAAGATCATATTAAGAAGCCACCATCTCGAAAGGTATCTTTTTAATTATAGTTAATTATTATAGTTTTTTTTTGTACTAAATATTTTGTATAAGTTTTATTCATAGCTTTGTAAAAGCTTGATATTTAGGATTTTATGCTTTAAACAAAAAATTTTTTTATGAACAGTAAAAATGATTAAATATTTTAAACATTGTTTTGGTTAAATAAAATTTTTTAAAGACGACTAGTTTCAACTGGACATCTTTGTTAAAAATTAGGGCGACAAGGTTTCTCTAATGAAAGCGACCAGTTACCTTTAACCAGTTATTTTCAGAAATCATGTTTTGAAACTCAAAAAAAACTGTTTAAAAGTGTGACATTTTCCGCAACAAAATATAAGTTGAGCTTTCTGTGTATTTTCAGAAGAAATATATCTATTTTTAGGAAATATGTTTTTAACTCAAAAATGTTTTCATTTCAACAATGGTTCTTTAATTTTTTGTGACCAAAACATTTGTTGAATTAAAAAACATTAAAATTACCATTAATTACTAGATTATTAAGTATATTGTAAAATTACTAAAAACTATTAAAAATGAGAGGAACATTAATGATGAAATTTCTTCTTTATAATTTTTTATTGAAAGATTATGACTCAGGATAAAGAAATAATAGCTGAAGATGAACAGTCGTTTTTAGAAGCTCAACTGGTAATTTTTCTTGTTTATTTTCTTTATTTAAATTTATTGCTTGTTTTTCAATAATTTGAGCGTTGCACAAATTTATACTGATTTTTTTAAATTGTTTGTAAATATTGCTTTATATAATAGTTTTTCTATAGATTACTTTAAAAAAATAGTTTGAGCTTTTTTCTACATGTTGTATCAAACAATTTTATACACAATTTGTTTTAAGTTATATATATTATATATATATATATATATATATATATATATATATATATATATATATATATATATATATATATATATATATAATATACATATATTGTATATATATATTGTATATATATATTATATATATATTGCATATATATAAGCTACATAGCTTGCTTTAAACAATAGCCTTATCGAATAGTTACTTTGAACAGTTTTTGTTACAGGTTGCTTTAAACAATGCTATTCCGGCGGCATCGACAGCAGTATCCCAACGACCTCAAATACCTGCGGTAAGAAAAATATGTCAAAGTATACGTCTCATTTTTTTTTTAATATATGTAAAAATTTAATATTCAACGCAAAAAATTTGCATTTTGAGTAGGACCCTCGCAACCCTCGTATTCCGACTTCACTTTCTCCTGGTCAGCATAAAGGTCCAAGGCCTGGAATGCCAAACACTAAAACTAAGGTTGTAAAAAAAAATCTTTTTTTTATTATTTAATTATATATTTTTCTAAACGCATTTTTTTTTTATGACGTTATAGATAGATCCAACTAAAGGAGCATCTGCTCCGAACTCATCGGAAACAGTCCTTGCGAACTTTTTTAACAGTTTATTAAACAAAAACACAACAGGAAAAACACTTAAATCTGCTAATCCAGCATTGGGAACTAGTAGAAGCGATGTTCAAGCAGAACTTGAAAGAATGTCAAAATCAACGGCAGTCGAAAAAGAGAGTGATGCGTAGTAAAGTTTATGTTTTGTTATGAATTAATTGCTGTTTGGTCTAAAAAACAGCACAACGAGCTGTTCGGATTTAAAATGCTTTACTTAATATGACTGGCTTGTAGAATAATAAATTTGTAGAATTATAAGAAGAATCGATACAATGAAGGTCATTGAAAGTGGTTTTCGTGATGGTACTTTTTATTCAATATATATATATATATATATATATATATATATATATATATATATATATATATATATATATATATATATATATATATTTATTTATATATATTTGTTTAGAGTATCTCGTAAACCAGTTAGTATTTTTGCATTAATCTCGAGTTAATATAATTTAACTTGCTGCTCGTGTATATATATAAATATATGTTATTTGTGTGTGTGATATAATAATTTACTGACCACAATAACTCGAATTGATGACTATGAATCGATCCCTTTTTACTTTTTTTTTTTTAATCAAGTTAAAGCAAAATAATGAAAAGATCACAAGAAATATTCTAAATTTTTAGGTTATTTTATAATTTATTAGGTTTTGTACGGTTAAAAAAATAAACGAACTATTTATTTTTCATTGAAAATATTCTCTTTGATTACTTGTTGTCATAATTATTTTATAAATTAGCATTTTTATTTCCATAATAAAAAGGATGAGCGTTTGCCGAAAAAATATTTTTTTGTTTAAAGTATTTAAAAATGAATTTTTATTTAATGTTTGTCTAAAAAAAAATTGTTAAATAAATCATATTACACACAAAAAAAACTATGCTTCAATGCGCGACATAAAATCTATTGAAAACACTCGTTAATAGAATTTTAAGCCGATACTATTATGGTTATTGTACTTTTATATTGTACTATAATGGTTATTGCATTCTTATTTCAACTTTCATTTTCGTCATTTTCAATTATTTTATAGCATATCTAAAATGTTTGAAATTTTGATTAATATATACTTTATACAAAAACAATTGGTTTTTTTGGTTTTTTATATAATTTGAATAGCTTATTAATAACAAATAATAACTAGTAAAAATTATACAATTTATTTATGCCTGTGTTTTATACATAGAGACCCAATGTTCGTTAGACGTCCTGCGCACTCGTGACATCGTATATACTTCTTCCGCATTTACGGACGTATGACGTATAATAAATAACTAGATGTCTTACTCCGGGTTTTTTTATAAATTGCAAGTGAAGCCGATTTTTGTTTACTATTTTAATCGGCCATTATTATATCGGGCAAAAACAGTAAATATCACATAATATATGCAGTAAATTCCTGATATCATTTGCTTTACCTTGCTGAAGCTTTTATTTAAATTAGCTTTTTCTTTGATAGTTTCATCCTAAAAATGATTAAATATATTCTAGTAGATATCTAAAAAACGACGCAAAATCTTTCAATTAATTTCTTCGAAAGAACTCTGAAAAAGTTTTTGCTTTGAAACATGAAAATTTTCTTACATCTAAACACACTTGTATATCTATCGACTATTTTTTAGAATCAGATTACAATTAAAGTATCCCAGAAAAATATTGTATGCGTTGATCATTATCATTTATCACATTATTAGCTAGAAGGCACTACTGGTAATAATGACCAAACCAATTAATCTCAAATAAGATAGTATTCAGATAAGTATTCTGATATTCAGATAAGTATTAAGATAGTATTCTGTATCACTAGCAAACAAAGCTATAACGAAAAGAAAATATTTTTATAAGACATAATGTTTTGTAAAAATATTTTCTTTTTAAAAAGTTTCCCTTTTAAAAAGTTATTATTATTATTGTGAAAAAGTTATTATTATTATTGTGAAAAAGTTATTATTATTATTGTGAAAAAGTTATTATTATTATTGTGAAAAAGTTATTATTATTATTACTGATGTTGCAACTGTTTTTATACAGAAAATTTTTGTTCGGACTTTAAATGCGACGACCAGGCTTGAACAGTAAACTCGAGGTGGGGGCGAATGTAAATATATAAGATACAATGTATATATATATATATATATATATATATATATATATATATATATATATATATATATATATATATATATATATATATATATATATATATATATATATATATATATATATATATATATATTTATGCACATATGATTTATGAAATAGTTTTCTGTATAATGCATACAACTTACTTCAACCAATGTTGTGTCTTGATGCTATCAGTATATTGTCACAAAAGACTTCATTTGTAAGTTGCGATCCTGGTTAATTCTATAATATTTTTTCATATTATGGTAATAAACAAAAAATTGATGTTGATTTTAAATATTTTACTCTTATAATTGATACTATAACAATCAAAAACAGTCTAACCTCGAAAAAAAGTTCAAATCACTGCATTGGTTTTTATGATTTGGGTAAGGATTTTACTGTATGCGAACCTAATAATCCAGCAAGAGAGGCATTAGTTTTCATGTTAATTGGTTTGCGAGGACATTTGAAAATGCCTAAAATGAATATTATACCATTCTTATTAAATATGCTTAGAAATTTACCACAAAAGACTTTAGTAAATTGCTAAGAAATGTTCAAGACAATAAATGAATCAGTTACTATTATTCAAGGGTTTGTAAATGTAATTTTTTTAATATAAATCATTAAAATATATTACCATGTTTTTGTTTAAAGTCCTAAATGCAAATATGTTTTTAAACATATATGTTTTTAAAATTTGTGGCTATAAAAACAGCCGTTTGTTTTAGTTTTTCAGCTAGTACAATCTTCTTTGACCAAAACAAATTTATATTGGCTGTACGCCACAAAGTTTATCATCTCTGAACTAATCATCCTCAATCCTTGATTTAGACTTTAAAATTGCTAATCTAGGTAAATCTATTATATATCATTGCCGTTCGCGGTTCTAAAAATAGATTTAACAAAACTTTCGCAAAGCTTTCTGGGATCGAAATGCGGACAAACAACTCAAATTGCAAAGAAACCTAATACTAATTCAGAAAAAAGTGTGTACAAAATGAAATAAAACAACTTTATAAGGATTTATTGTTCAAGGATACCTTGAACGTTTGTCAACTGGTGTAAATTTAAAAAAAAATAGGAAGAAAAAAAAGATACTATGACAAACTTGGAAAAAAGGATAAAAATAATAAAGATTCCAGAATTATATATTTAAACAAAAAGTTAACATTTTGTTTTTTTGTCGAAAAGAATGAAAATAATATTAACATCGTTATATTATTATTATTTTCATTCTTTTTGTTTAAAACTTTTTGTTTAAAGATATAATTTCAAAATCTTTCTTTTTTCCAAGTTTGTCATCGAATCTTTAATTCTTCTTTATTTTTTTAAATTATATGCAATTGAAATACATTTAATCGATAAAATCGTATTTTTCATGTTCATATTGTCAAAGTCGATCATGGATGTTTCCAGTATTAAAATCAACAATGCTACATTCTGTATTTATATCAGAACTAATGATGAGTTTACGAATTTCTTTGTTATAATGATTATGCATATTATTTGCATCAATGTTAATATTATGTATATAATTGGATCACCAAATTATCAACATTCATTATTCGGGTCAAGGAGTGAGAAAGTTATTAAAAAGTCTTAATAGCTATCTGTAAAAAAGAAGAAGCATGTATCATATTTTATATCAGCATTAGTGATGTGAATTTATTTAAGATGTATAGAATTAAAAGTTCACTTAAAAGTTTGGATTGTTTGATGGAGTAATGTTTTATTTATTGGCACTGGCACTTTATTAGTTTATATTACTTTATAATTGGAAAACTTTTAACAATGATCGTGTGCTTGAATATCTTTGTAAAGTTTTAATTTCGTTATATATAATATTCTTCTGTGTAACCCTTTTTTATTTAAATGTATATAAATATTCTTCTGTGTAATCCTTTTACAAGTACTAATGCAAAAAAAGTAAATTTAAAAAGATTAAAAACCACTTTGAACAAGTTTTTCAGTTTTGAAATTTCAGCTTTCTTAAAAATAATGGATTAAAACTTATTTATAAACATTTTTGTAAATATGTACTAATTTAATTTGGCTGCAACTTTTAAAAAAAAATTTATATAAATATTAAATAAATATTCTTTTAATATTTTTATTTTTAAAAATATCATTTTAACAATCATTGTTTAGAGAGCTGGTTAATATTTTTCTGACCTTGTCAAATTATCTTTGTTCTAGCGTTTACTTTACAGGTGCTTTACATAGAAATTTAAGGGGTAATTAGTTAACTTTTGTAAAATATACCCACCCTGAGTGAATTAGGATTCATTAAATTAATTCATTTATTAAATTTTTCTTAGAGCCAAAGAAAACTATCTACTTATAAAAACAAAAACTTGGAGTAATCATGCTTTAAATGTCAAATTTAAACAAACTGATCAAAATTAAAACTTTCATTGTAATCAGCGTTTCAAAATTCACAAAAATTAAACAAGAATTCAAAAAGTTATCGAGATTTTGAATTGAAAGTTGAATAATTTGTGTTATTGTTGAAAGTTGAATAATTTGTGTTATTGTTGAAAGTTGAATAATTTGTGTTATTGTTGAAAGTTGAATAATTTGTGTTATTGTTGAAAGTTGAATAATTTGTGTTATTGTTGAAAGTTGAATAATTTGTGTTATTGTTGAAAGTTGAATAATTTGTGTTATTGTTGAAAGTTGAATAATTTGTGTTATTGTTGAAAGTTGAATAATTTGTGTTATTGTTGAAAGTTGAATAATTTGTGTTATTGTTGAAAGTTGAATAATTTGTGTTATTGTTGATTTTTAAAATGTTTGTCCGTGTTTTGATTCCAGAATTTTTAGTTTTAATTTATTGTGAAAAAAGAAAAACCATATTTACTTGCCATGACAAAAAAAAAGTTTTGTTGTACATGATAGACATTAGATGTAGTGCCATATAATAGGGGCTAGAGGGGCTATAGCCCCGGGCCCCGCAAATTTAGGGGCCCCCAAAAAGTGTGTTCGCTTCACTGTACGCTTCACACAGTAGTGTATTATAAAGAAAGTCAAGATTTGCGTTTCACTTTATATTGCATCATATTGGATGACAATAATCAGTATGTAGCAATGTTTATGAAGTAAAAAAATTAGTTATCAACCATATAAAGCAAAA